TTTTTACAAACACATATTACTATATCAATATTTAAACAATAAAAATCCTCAATTATAAAAACTTATTAATTAGGTAAATTACAAAACTGTATTAATTAGGAGAATGCGAGATTAAGAATGCCCATGGAATGCGAGTTACTCAATCATTTATATTAAGAATTCCCAATTTCCAGCTAAACCCCGGCGCCGGTCTTATTGTTTATATTGAGCTGGTGTTAACCTGGTTAGCAAAAGGCAATTCTGATTCCCAGTAAAACACCGGCGCCGGTTGTACACACAAAGAGTTGCACCGGAGTTTCCCTGGAACCACAAGGCAGTTCCCACGCCCAGAAAAAGACCGGCGCCGGTGTTTTCGCATCAGACAGCGCCGGTGTTCCATTGGAGAGACCAAGGTCAACATACAGTTTTATAACACCGGCGCCGGTTATACTCATCTCTGCATGCGCCGGTGTTTCCCGGGGACGAAAACATTACCTTATCAAAAAACACCGGCGCCGGTCTTACTCATGTATATATGCGCCGGTGTTTCCCTGGAGAGACCACGGATTACCTTACACATTTAAAAAACACCGGCGCCGGTTTTCCGCATGCTAAGATGCGCCGGTGTTTCACTGGAACGCCGTTAGGTTTTAAAAAGCTGGAACATTGACTTTTAACCAAATTTTCTATTTTGACCGCAATTGTGAAAACCTAATTTTCACTTCTTCACTCTTGGGTCAGGCAGCCTTCACGACACTCTTCGCTTGGCCGCTTAATTCTTCCCCGCTTCCGCTCAATTCATCTGCTTTGATTCTCATTTCTCAGCTGGTTCATCAATTTAGCTCAACTGGGTTTTGGTTATCCCCTTTTCCCCTTTTATTCCTTTCAACTTCGACAACTGGATTGTTTGGTTGCTGGGTTTGTAGCCTTCGCCGCTTCAAAGCCTTCCGTCCCCTCGGCCCTCTTCCGTCCCCACAGCCGCCGCTGCATTTCTCAGCCACTACCCATCTGCGGTTTTACCAGGTTTGTTTTTCCCAATTCCCTTTTTTTTTTCATTTCCTTCACAAATTACTGGGTTTTGGTTACCCTACCGTCCCCTCGGCCCTCGTAGTCAATGTTTATGTACTGCTGTAATTTTTATCAAATTATGATGACAATTAACTTGTCTCAGCCATGATCCTTATTACATCCCTATGAGCACGTTTCCATGTTTTTTTTGGTTTGTCCTAAAATACATAAGCTGATTAGCCTAAATAAAATTAGAAAAACAAGGTCTCCCTTCAGATGTTGTAGGTGTTTACATTTTGTTTGGACTAAAGTAGATAATTTGGTTGGCCTGTTGTTGAGTTGCGCCGTTGCTGAATGTGGAACTTAATTGGGAGGCATTTGTGTTAATGTTTTTGGCTGACAATGAAAATTGTCACATAATTGGTGGTCAGGCAGTCCACTGTTGGTACTAAACTGTTAAATTTCCGGTCAAATCACCGGCGTTTTTTTCCACTGTTAGGCCTCGGTGCCGGTGTTTTTATTTTGGTATCATCTGAAATCTGGATTAAAAAAAGGGAAAAAAAAGTCGTCGGACTTTAAGTTGGACAGCCTATCATATGCTCCCTTGTCTCACTTAATAACAGTAATTCATAACCACGTCATTGTGGAGTTGTATTATAATTTGATATTGAAGATGTGGCCAGTTTAACTGTTATTCAAGTACTTCCATTTGGCGAATTGGGATGAATTTTTGGCACGTTTCATTACTTGGTGAAGTGAAGTGAGAATTTGACAGAAGCTGAGCAAAATTTGCATCTCAGTTGTTGAACAAATCTTATATATGGTCTTGAACATGCTTAATATAACAGCCCTAATCTTAGATATAATAACCATGACTCTCTCAATAATAATCTAATACTACCATTTATCGTACTTGCCAGTCTTTCAATCTTTATCTATTATAGGTCAACATTTAATCCTATAATTAGAAAACTTTATGTACCAAAGTGCATAGTCGACAAAGATAGCTGGATGAAACACAATTTGATTTTCTGTACAGCAAGGTTCTTTTCTTAATTTGGCCAAAGCTTTTTCTGCTTCTGTCTATAACAGCATGATGTGTATACAAATCCGGTTTCTGTCCTTTTGGTTTAAATTCTTCAAATCATGTGAGCCAGACAATCCACCATTAGTGTATTTGACAGACGCTGGGATGCTAGTCCACTTATTAAATAATATAAGTCCCTTGCTAGCATCTTGCTACTAAATCATTCCGTGACCTCCTGTTTGTGAAAGCCCTTTTACTTCCATTACATCGAAGGACTTTTGTCCGTGGGTCACAATAGAAAACCTTTTGAGGAGAATAATTAGGTGTTGTTTGATTTAATCAGTTTTGGTCAACGAAGCAACGTAGCAAACTTGAGTCAGTTGACAATGCCACCTAGGAATACAAAAAGAGGCACACGAAAGAGGAGTCGGGACCAAAACAGCGGTGCTAGCACCAGTGCAGGCCCCAACTTCGATGTTAGTAGGTTCACTTCAATTGAAAATCAACATTGGTATCTCGTTCGTGCTAATAATACAGTTCTAGTTGAAGTGGACCTTGATCCTGTCTTTGATGGGAAATTTCACTTTCGAGAACAGTTTGCAACAATGGGGTGGGACTGTATGTTGAATCTACCTCGACGGTATTACCCGAATTTGGTGCGGGAATTCTATGCTAACATCTCGAATAAAGGGAATGTCAGTTCTGTAGAACTACAGAGTTATGTGAAAGGGGTACATATAACTCTAACGAGAGAGACTCTGGCCGACATTATAAGAGGTGATGACGAGGGTCCCACCTTTGAACATGGAAAGTACATAGTCCGAGGGGATCCAACATGGGAATTCGAGGTCACTCTCCCTAAGTATACCAATAACTTTGGTTCTTTTAAAACCATAGTGGATCCTGTCACGGGGGACTCAAGAATGGAATCAGCACCTATTCCCACTAAGAGTCTTACGCTCCGGCACAGTTTATTGGTATATTTGTTGAACCACAACATTCTGCCGGCTTCAAGCAGCAAGAATGAAGTCCGGGTAATGGATGTGTATTTCCTAGACAAATTAGAGGCTGGTTTAGGCAATGTATCAGGGATTCCGATATCCACAATCATACTCGGTGCCATGTCAAGAACTGCAGGGTTTAAGGGGGCTAAGAAAGCACTACCCTATGCTAGGACACTAACGCGTATCTTTGAGCACTTCGGTGTAAATTTGACAGGCGAATCGTACAACACTGCATCAGCAATGGTGAGCCAAGCCACAATGGACCGAATTGCCTATCGCGATGAAACGGAATTGGGTGACGAAGAACAACAAGAAGAGGGCGAAAACAGGCAGGCCACAACTGATGCAGGGTCTTCTCAGGCTACGAATGGGCGATCGATTCAAGACATGATTGGAGCTGTGATCACTGAGATGCGTGCAATGCGTGAAGTGGTTGATCGGTTGGATGGGAGAGTACATGCGGTCGAGGAGCGATTGTCTGCGATCGAAGACAGATTGGAGGCATTGAGTGGTGGTCAAAACACAAGCCGAGTCGAGCGAAATGAACACGGAAATTAGTCACAGGCTGTAATCTTTGTTTTTAGATTAATCTTTTGTACCTAATGTGCTAGGCATATGTTACAAGTCTAACACAGTTGACATGTCAATATATTGTTATTTCAATGTATGACTTATTGTTCAGATTTGGTGTTTTGTGTCTGGATTTGCTGGCAGGGCCGTTATTTCAATGTACGACTTATTGTTTAGATTAAATGTTTTGTGTCTGCATTTGCTGGCAGGGAGTTTAGGCCACTTTTAAGGGGAGACTCTGTTCAATTTTTTCCAAAAAAGATAAGTAAATGTATATATGTATGCATATTAATCATAATAAATTACAATAAACAAATAAGCAAATCTAAGTAGTATCAATAATAGCAAATTAGAGAAATTGATTAATCAATTATTAGTAGTACCAATACCAAAAAAATTAATTACTATTCTTGTTCATTCTTATTTTTTATTTAACTATAAATAATAATTGCTAACTTTTCTTTTTTATGTGGTATATAATATGTTACTTTTAATATAAGTAGTTGAGTAACTACGATTTCTCAATCAGTTTATAGATACTTAAATTATTGAATTACTACATTAATACACTTTGCAAAAAATGTTGACGTACTAGATTAATACACTGTACAACATATGCTACATATATTTTTTAACAACAAAGAGTTTATGGTAAACTCTTAAGAATGAATTTAACAAATAAACTAATTTTATAAGTAATTTAACAATTATTACAATTTTTTTATGCAATTTTCTAGGAATTTGTATTTATCGAATGCAAGCTAAAGTCCAACCAAAAAGCTTGCTACATTGGTTAACATTTATTTCCCGAACTTATTATTAACTATTGATGTCAATATTATGGGATCTTTTTTTAAGCAGTTGTGATGAATTTAGAGCCTTAAGTAGTCAAATTTGTAGAAATTTGCATTGCAAATTGTAAATCATAAAGCAAGAGAACATGGCATTACAACAGAAGCAACAAGAAATATTTTTAGGCAAAATCTAGAATCCTGTTATTGGAAAGCAAACAACATAGGTACATAGTCACTACTTGATCATAAGTGTAAAATTGCACCTTGCAGCGCACACTAGACAGCGGAGTTTTGTGGTTTAATTGGAGGTATATGACCTCGCATTTCAGAAATGCGAGGTAGATATACCTCGCATTTCTTAAGTGCGAGGTACATATAACTCGCATTTCAAAAATGCGAGGTCATGTACCTCGCATTTCAGAAATACGAGGTCAGTTTTTTTTTTCCATTTTTTTTTTTATCTTGGATCCAGAAAATTTAAGGACACTTCGCATTTCTCAAATGCGAGCTCAAGGAGCTCGCATTTGAGGAATGCGAAGACCCCAAAAACAGAAACCACTACACAAAATACCCCCTTTGTAGAATTTTTTTAAAAATCATCATAAAGATAGAAATTTCTCTGGAGCAAAGGCTCTATCTAGAGCTACAGGATAAATGTTACCTTGTGGTGCTTGATGATGTATGGAAGGAAGCAGCGTGGGATTGTCTTGCTAGGGCCTTTCCTGATGTGAATACATCAAGTAGATTGCTACTTACAAGTCGCAATTTAGATGTTGCCCTACACGCAGATGCTCTTAGCATGCCATATAAGCTGAAAACTTTGGGGCAGGAAGATAGCTGGCAGTTATTTCTCCGAAAGGCATTAGGCCCTGGGGCTGATGGTGGGTGTCCTCCGTATTTGGAAGAAGTAGGCAGAGATATTGCAAGGCGATGTGCTGGCCTACCACTGGCCATCACAGTTATTGGCGGGTTGCTACTGGGCAAGAAAAAGTTGAAGAGTGAATGGGAGAAAGTTCTCAACAACATTAGCACATACCTATCAAGGAGCCAGAGTGGAGTATCAGAAATTCTGGCATTAAGTTATGCAGATCTTCCTCCCAATCTGAAATTTTGCTTTTTGTATTTGGGCTTGTTTCCAGAAGACTCTGTGATTTCTGTGCGCAAGTTGATCCATATGTGGATTGCGGAGGGAATAATGCAGAAAAGGGATGCAGAAAATTTGGAGGAAACTGTAGCATATGATGTGGAACAACTTTTCAGCAGAAATATGGTTCAGGTGGCAGAAATGACTGTTGATGAGAGGATTAAAAGCTGTAGAGTCCATGATTTATTGAGAGAACTTGCAATCAAAAAGGCAGTGGATGAAAATTTTTTTCAGATCCATGACACCAAAGATGATGAAATATCAGCCAAATCCAGGTACCTTGCTGTTCATATTCTCCCTTGGTATAAAAAGTATTTTGGGTCTTCGACCCCTCCTCTCCGATCTCTACTTTTTTTCAATGTCCACGCTTACAGGGGAAATGTTAGTCTTAGCTTCAAAAGTTTCAGAAAGCTTAGGGTACTAGACCTTGAGAAAGTTCGCATATATCGCTTGCCAAAAGAAATTGGTGATGTCAGGCTTCTGAGGTATCTCGGTTTAAGAGAGACACGGATTGGAAAGCTCCCTCATTCCTTCGGTTGCTTGCGAAACCTACAAACTCTTGACATATGCAGCATAAATTGGAAAGTGAAAGTTTCAAATTTCATTTGGAAGCTTGAAAGTTTACGGCATCTATATGCATATAACATAAGATGTAATGTGTCACTTAAGATTGAAGGATTGAGCAATCTTCAGACTTTGTCAGGCATACACTTTGATGACATTATGCACAATAACATGATAACTTTGACAAGTCTTCGAAAACTGGGGATTTTATTAGATGTCAACTCAGAGATAGATAAACTCTGCATGCATTTATCTGTGGTTGGAAGCCTAAAGACGTTACATCTTTATCGTACTGGAGGAAGAGAGTGGCCAACTCTAGCTGGACTTTCTAAGCTCCATCATGTAACAGAGCTCAAGCTATCCGGGGAGTGGAAAATGCTACCTCCTGATTTTCCTCCAAATCTCTCTCGCTTGTCTTTGACATTCACATATCTTATGGATGACCCAATGCCAATACTAGAGAAGTTGGGGCAGCTGTCATTCCTCAAAATGAAAGATGCATATCACGGCCGACAACTGATCATTTCTAGGCATGGCTTTCACCAATTGAAATTCCTTGAGCTCAGAGCCCTACATCATTTGGATGAAATAAAGGTGGAGAAAGCTGCATTGCCACAGCTCCTGTGCCTGAGAATCAGGAACTGCAGCTCATTAGGCATGTTGCCGGAGGAGCTGATGCACATTTCTACTCTTGATAAGATTGAGCTTGTGAACATGCCCGAAAGTTTTATTAGTAGGCTTGATGTGCGAGACCCGCACAAGGGATCCAGTGCCCCTTACCTCAGAATATTTGACTATAGTTTCCCACAGAGGGGTTGATTGAGACAACACAGGTTGCTTGAAAAATTACGAAGGGAAGAAAGGAAGAAGAAGCATCAGGGCTGCTGTTCATTTTAAAGCGGCTGGTGAAGCATCATGATTGTAACATTTGAAAGCAAGATTAAGTTTACTATCTCGACTGCATGCACCAAATTCTCTCTATTCCTTCTGATTTGGTGCGGTTTGCATAATTGCATCAGCTAGAGATGTTTGGATTACATCCAAAATTGGGTGACTCTGAGTCTGTACGTAAGGTCCCTGGTCCAATAGACTATATCTTGATTGTGTATTTCTACCTTTATTCTCGCTTTTGTCCTCTCTGCTGAGAGGGCTCCTTATATTGTACTGCTGGCTGATTTTGAATGCAGTAAATCAATAAAATCATTTCCCTCTTTTATCAAAATAAATAAATAATTAAAAATTCTCCCACTAAATATACTCACTTTGCCATTATTTTAATCTTTATTTCGTCCATTTTATGTAATTCGGACCCTACTTAAGTCTATCCTTTTTGTTTTTTTTTTTTTTTTTTTTGGGGAGAAATGTCACACTTCAAGGCTTGCTTTTTTCAATCTTCCTACTATTAAACAAGGAATGACAGTTGCATGGTTAATATTTTTTGGAAAATTAACAACGTCTATTCCTATATCCATATCCATTAACATTCAATATATCATGTTGATACTAGTATATTAATAATTCATGAACGTTTGTGTCTTCAAAGCTTAAAAGTCCTGATACTAAATTGTTAGCATTTGGAAATGATTAATTCAACAGAAATAGAACGAACAAAAACCCACCATCCATCGTGTCTAAACTTGATTGTTATGTTAAATTTCAATTGCTAATATACTTGATTGTTATGTTAAAGTACAGCGTTATCACTTTTTTTTTCTCAAAAAAGGAGCTTTTTATTGATTGCAGAAGAAATGTACAATATGTTCCCCACATATCAGGACTCCTATCTACTCAACCTCCTACATATTTCTATACAGTATATACTCAGGACTTGCTTTAAATCTATATAGTGTATGTCTAGCTCATCAAACATCTACGGTCCAAACCCCATTCTAGAATCAGCTCCAAATTCTTCATTGTTCTTGGTGCTCTTCCGCAGGATGCGACCGTAATCATTACAATTGCTGCAACGAGTTGAAGATTTGAACTGTTGGCTTGCTTGAAAATTCTGTAGTTTCTTTCCTGCCACAGATGCCAATTATTAGCATTCTAGAACTAATCTTTTGGGTTTGGTGGCAAAAGAATCATCTTTCAAGTGAGTACTGCACCATTGCACCTCCATCTGCCTACTTATATCACCCCAACACAGAAGGCATATCCTTTGTACTTTTTGCCTGATTGATTTAGCAAAAGTACATTCAAAGAACAAATGATTAAGCACATAATACACGAAGTAGGATCAACATTTTGCAACCCTATCTTTAGTCATGAGTTTTCCTTGTGTTGTCAGCCAAAGAGTGAAAGCAAATTTAGGGATATGTCCCTTTCCCCAAACTATCTTATACCAGCTCACAGGGTTCCCTAGAGAGAATAACTTCCTCATTGCAGATTTAACAGAGAATAGACCAGTTCATGAGTCAACCCACTTCACATGGTCCTCTCTGTGCAGATTTTGCAACAAGGATAAAGGGATTGCATCCTTGAATTCTCGAACACGACATTAAGTTTCCTTCCCTAGGGCCATTTCTAGCAGTCATTATGAATAAAGTCAGCAAGTCCTAAATCTTTAAGTAGAGACTAAGTACCACAAAATGTTAAAATATTTAGACAATAAGAAAAAAATTTTAGTAATTATTCCATCTGATTAAATTATGCTAAAACCTATTGGGAAAATGATGTGTTTCATCCTTCACATTTCACAAAAATATTCTTTTCATCCCTCACTTTTAAAATGAAGCAATTTCGTCCTTGACATTTAAAAACTGAAATTGTTACATCCCTGAACCCAAATTTCAATCTGAATCAAACCACCAATCAACCTGATTACAAATTTTGGGAGTGTAATTGATGGATCACTTGGTTAACTCAACTTGGTATTCATGTGAAATTTAATGAACCTAAAAAGAAAAAATAAAAAATTATAACATAAAAAAGAAAGATTAATCTTTTCTACATTATCATTATATACGCTGACGGTTTTATGTACCGCCATATCATTTTAATTTAAATTTAAAAATCAAATTTTATATTTATGATATACATCTAGATTCGCAAGCGAATATACTAACGGTGCATGAAAAGATTTATCAAAAAAAAAAACTCTATTATTCCAAGACAAAGAATGGCCTTTTAAGTTATAATTTTTATTTTTTTGGTTTAATAAATGTCATGTGAATATGATAAAGTTGACCGAATGATCTATCAATTCAATTTTCGAAATTTATTACTGGGTTATTGGATGGTTTGATTCAGATTGAAAATTAGGTTCAGGGATATAATAGCTTTAATTTTTAAATGTCAGGGATGAATTTGCTTCATTTTAAAAGTAAGGGACGAAAAGAATATTTTTGTGAAATGTGAGGGATGAAACAGGTCATTTTTCCAAACCTATTTTTCTAGAATTTTTTTAAACATATAACCCTACTAACTAAATCTCTTAAAATCAAACCTTTGACTGGAAGCTCAGAATTTGTTCTTTGGGAGGAAATTTGACTTTTTATCCATCAAGAATTTGACTTTAAAACTATTTTTATTGAATCCAAATGTGGAATACCTCCTTATTTACGTGTAATATCTTAAGTAAATGGATATTTAGTTAAATGATATTAAGATATTACACAAAAATAACTTCTAAATGCTAACAACCTGAACTACTTGTGGACTGAACATAATTTACTCAAACATGGAGTACCAATCTGCAAATAACCAAATCAACCCAATGCTCTTCCTTTGTTGACACGTGTCTAGCCACATGTCTCTTTCCTTGACATGTGATCGTGACATGTGTCCCTACCTCTTGACATTTCTATTCTTAGCAAACGTAACCTGGTGCAATGTTTCAAGGATACAACAGACACATGGAGACGAGGTTCAAACCTCTCTAATCCGAATTTTAGACATGAGAAGATACATCGAGCCTCTGCTATTGACTTTAGAGGTAATTAGAATGAATGTAGTGGAAACCCATTCTGCGCCAAAGCGTTAATAAGCTGACAACCTGATTTTTTTGGGCTCCACTAAAGAAAGAGGTTTTTCAGGCTTAATGGTTTTTTGTTCCTTACCAAAAAAGGGCTCCAGCTGCGGGTTTTCTAGTCCAATTGCTGGGGCTGAGCTCTCTTTCAAACATTGGTTTCAAGAGTTAGGTACCTCAAGCTACACTCAAACCCCAAGTTTATAAAGTTCTGTGGTTAAAAGTAGGGGTGAGCATCGAATTCGAATTCGGTAATTCGGTAGGTTGAAATCGGTAATTTTCGGTAAATGGTGTTGAGATATTTCGACCTAATTCGTATTCGAATTACCAAATTTCGAATTCGAATTCAATTCGGATTGAATTCGGTAAACACAAATTGACCGAATTGTCCGAATTCCTGAAGCAATCGCAGCCTGTTTTGCTTCGTCGCCTCCTGCCATACCAGTATGCAAAGGTTGCTACTGATGCAGCCACAATCACACCCGCAGTTGCGTACCAAGCGTGTAATGGTTTCTCGATGACGAGATTAGAACTGCCAGCAACAAGAGGAGGTGATGATGATGATGGTTTCTGGCTTGCTGTCAAAGCAAATCCCAGTCCCTGCCTCTCAAGCTCACCCAGGTCTTCAATTGCCGGTTTAAGCCTCGTGGCCTTGGCTATAGCTTCGTACTGCTCTTTGGTTCCACCCTCCAGAAAAGAACCAACAAGATGACCCTTATTAATCCAATAAGCCCCAAAAGTCTTTCCCGAGAAATCCCCAAAATGAATTACTTCCCCTGCGTTGTCTCCATAAAACTGCCAAGACAATGTGAAGACGCGGGAGTAGAAGAATGGCAGGTAGTCGAATTCACCCGTCTTTTCTGGCTCCATGATAGCAGCAACAGCATGCCTTGCTGACTTCCTCGCAGAATCTACATGCTCAAGTCTGCGTGTTTCAGCAAACATTTTTACTGGAAAAGCGGCAACATCCCCAACTGCATAGACTGAAGTGTTGCTCGATTGCATCTTCCCATTCACCTTAATCCCACCTTTCTCGAATTCCGAAATTAATTCGAATTCGGTATATCCGAATTCAAAAACTATAAAACCGTTTTCGAACCTAATTCGATTTTAACTAGTACTATATCCCCGATTTACCGACCGAATTACCGAATTACCAAATTCGATTTACCAAATTGAAATCGATTTCGGTCGGTAAATCGGTATTTACCGTAATTGCTCACCCCTAGTTAAAAGTATAACTACTTATTTGTTGGGGTATTGTTTAAAATCATTTAAACAATAGGTGATCAAAATGCAAATCATTCACTATCTATTTTGTTCTCTATGAGATTGCACCCTTATAACTGGATTTACACTTTGGTTCCTAAATTTTAAAGTGGAACTCTTTAATCACTTGATTAAATTCATCTCACTTTAGTCTTTGAAATATAAAGTCTTGCCCAATTAAGTATAAAATCTATTTCACTTTAAGGATCAAAATATAGAAGAAGTATAGAAAAGTTTATGCTTTAGGGACTAAAATAGGACGAGTTTTATTTGAAGTGGAATAGATTTTATACTTTAGGCACTAAAATGTTCAGGAATCAAAACGAGAATTTAGGTATAATTAAAGGGTGCAAAGTGAAATTCACCTTTAGTTTAAGTATTGCACTTTCTTCAATATATTAGTGTTGCAGATTTAGTCAAGGACATACACAAGAAATTGAATGGATTTCAAAGTATTAACGCCAAGAAAACTTTGAATTTCAACCAAATCCGAGCTAACAGTTAGCATTGCGCAACCTTGGATAATTTGTTTGATAATAGATTGGCGTAGAGAAATCAAAATTGAGTGTTATTAACAGCATTTTTCACTAGAAAATTTATGCTTCCTATCAATACTAGAAAATCGAAGTTGACTGAAGATCCAACTCTGTACAGCGGTATTGGGAATATCTTGAATGCTGACTTTTTGAGCCAATATAGGCCAACTTATGGTTCGAAATAACAACATTGTCTTCTACAGATTATTATTGTTATTATTATTTTCAGTCTAATTTCGAACTTATGGCACCATTTTTATAGTTTTTCGACATGTATAGCTTTAGTTTATTCAGGCGCTGCTAATGCTGGAAATCATAAACAGGCAGCCCTTTTTGAGTTTGTTACTCAATGAGATGGTTACATTCTGATCGATTCCTAGTCTGCAAGCGGTATCTTACAAATTGATTTGATTGTCATAATTTAAGATTAAAGAAGGGCCAAGTGAATCCTTTAATGTCTCTATGGTTTTAACTTTGGCGAATGAATTTCTAAAATATTTGTCTACTGAAATGTAATAACTGGTACATTAGCTTTATCTATTCATTACCCTTTTTCACACAGTAATTCACATGTGAGCTGGTTCTGCACGACAGATCTAACTATCAAGGCTAACAGGTACGTTAAGATTTAATTATCTTGCAACCCTTACGTCAACGTACTGCAAAGGAATTCTATGAAATCTTTCCAGGCATTGTGATTAGTGACAATGCAATGGATTTCATCACCAATAATGTGGAGTGTTGATGAGGCCAGGCTACCACTCTGACCCACAAAAGGAAAAGCAGAGGTAAATGATGAAAACTTGACTTAAATGTTGAGGAAGGAATTCTTTGCTCATGTTCTGTTGAAGATTCTTATCTTCATAAACTGTTAAGGAGAAAGTTGAGAGTCTAACAGAAAGGAGAATTGAATTCTGGGCTGTTTGATTGTAGCCTTTTGCGTACCTAATAATTTTCTATATGGCACTCTCCTAAAACAAGCAATCTGCCCTTCTTTTTTCTATTTTTTTGAGAATTTCCCACATCTCACAACCTGATTAATGTAAATCCATTTAAATCAAAACCTGCTTTCTTTTGACTGGAGTAGTTGCTCTTGTTTAAGAAGCTGAAGGACAAAGCTGGAAGGAAAAATGGGACTGTGGAATCGCGGGTCTCTTCTAAGATCAGTTAAAACGACAATGAACCATTGGCAAATATTCGATTCAGTAAGCTTCGAATCATCTTGTAAATTTATTGATTCCTTACCTATCGACAAGATATAGAGTTTCATGTTAGTTTGAGAAATTCCATTTCCACCTGTAAATTATATCATATAATATGGTCTTCATTGTTGTAATTGGGTATGTTGATTGGCTAAACAAACTTCTTTCAAAATCTGCAAACTTTTAGTACGAGTAGCCAAGTATTGACAATATTGTAGGTAGCATGCTTAACATCTTAGTAGTAGTGATACCAAAATGCACATCTTTCATTTAATTTGGTTTTATTTATTTATTTATTTTGGTCCGTTCTCAATGAAAGCAGGAAATCAAGTTTAAGAAAGAAAAAGAAATTGACAATCAAGAAAAAGGCAGAGGTAGATGATGCAAAATCAAGTAGAAGATTGAGCTAGGAATCTTACACCATCGTTTTTCCCCCCCTCTATAGAGGTAACTTGGTTATGTTCTGTTGAAAATATGCTGAAGGTAACTTGTTATCGTGAAATCCCCTACCCAGTGCTTGAAAAGCAGAGTTAAAGAACATACGATTGGAATCATCATTTACGTACAAACTGAATATAGATTTCTTGTAAAGTCATTGATTCCTTACCTACAGACAAGATATACGGTCTTTGCATTAGCCACTTCTGCTTTATAAAAATGTGTAGAAAAACAGATGCAGGTATTAATCTGGCTTTGCAACTGCACTTGAAATATAAGAGCCTCTCCCCCCTTTCTTGTTCTTCTTACTCTTCTATTGAGAAGCAAAGCTCTCATAGATTAGATGGCTGACCCTGTTATCTCTCTTGTTGTTGAGAGAACTGGTGATCTGCTGATTCAAAAAATTGTTTTCCTGAAAGGTGTTCGAGGCCAAGTTGAGAGACTTCAAAATGATCTGGTCCGGATGCGGTGTTTCCTGAAAGATGCTGATCAGAGGCAAGATGAAGATGCGAGGATCCGCAACTGGGTTTCTGAAATCAGAGCTGCTGCCTACGATGCGGAGGATATCATTGAGATCTTTGCCAACAAAATTGAAAGTATAAAAGATAAGGGATTTGTGACTAGATTGGCATATTATCCCTGGCGGATTGTGAGCCTTAACAAGGTCGGTAAAGAGATTGAGTCCTTACAGACAAGGCTCGATAACATAGCCGCTAGCCGCGAAAAGTTTGGTATCAAAAATCTTGGAGAGGGAACGAGTACACATGGAGAAGAGCTTCAACGGCTCCGGCGGTCCTCTCCTCTCAGCGAGGACAAGGATATTGTGGGCTTCGAGGAGATGACAAAATCCCTGGTGACAGAACTCTTGAAAGAGGACACAAACCGCCGCGTGGTTTCAATCATTGGCATGGGAGGTGCTGGTAAGACAACTCTAGCCAAAAAAGTTTATAACCATGCTGACCTCATGACTAGATTCAACTGCCGTGCTTGGGTATGCGTCTCTTCAAGCTACAATCACAAAGAGACGCTGAGGACAATCATAAAGCAATTAAATCCGATGACTAATGAGCTACTTGACATGTTGGAAAAGATGCAGGAGCAGGACTTGGAACAAAGGCTCTATCAAGATCTACAAGATAAACGTTATCTTGTGGTACTTGATGATGTATGGGAGGAAGAAGCGTGGGATTGTCTAGTCAGGAATGCCTTTCCTGATGGTAGCACATCAAGTAAATTGCTACTTACAAGTCGCAATCGGGATGTTGCCATACACGCAGATGCTCTTAGCATCCCGCATGAGCTGAAAACATTGGGGAAGGAGGATAGCTGGCAGTTGTTTCTCAGAAAGGCCTTAGCCCACGGGGATAATGCTGGGTGTCCTCCAGATTTGGAAGAAGTAGGCAGAGAGATTGTAAGGAGATGTGATGGTCTGCCACTGGCCATCACAGTTGTAGGTGGGCTGCTACTGGGCAAGAAAGAGTTGAAGAGTGAATGGGAGAAAGTTCTCAACAGCTTCAACAGAAACCTCTCAAGGAGCCAGAGTGGAGTATCGGCAATTCTGGAATTAAGTTATGCAGATCTTCCTCCCAATCTGAAATTTTGCTTTTTGTATTTGGGTTTGTTTCCCGAAGCCTCCGTGATTTCTGTGCCCAAGTTGATCCATATGTGGGTTGCAGAGGGAATAATGCAGAAAAGAGATGCAGAAAATTTGGAGGAAACTGCAGCATATGATGACGTGGAACGACTTTGTGGCAGGAATATGGTCCAGGTGGTGGAAACGACTGTTGATGCGAGGATTAAAAGGTGCAGAGTCCATGATTTACTGCGAGAGCTTGCAATCAGGAAGGCAGAGGATGAAATTTTTTTTCAGATCCATGACACCAGAGATGGTAAAATATCAGCCAAATCCAGGTACCTTGCTGTTCATAGTCTCCCTTTGGATAAAAACTATTTTGGGACTTCGATCCCTCCTCTCCGGTCTCTGCTTTTTTTCAATGTCCACGATTACAGGGAAGACATTAGTCTTAGTTTCAAAAGTTTCAGAAAGCTTAGGATGCTAGACCTCGAGAATGTTAGGATGAACTTTAATTTGCCAAAAGAAATTGGTGAAGTCAGGCTTCTAAGATACCTCGGTTTAAGAGGCACATCCATTCGAGGGCTCCCTCATTCCTTCGGTTGCTTGCGATACCTACAAACTCTTGACATACGGAACTTAGAGCAAGTGATAGTTTCTGATTTCATTTGGAAGCTTGAAAGTTTACGGCATCTATATGCGTATGATATTGAATGTGATGTGCCTCTTAAGATTGAAGGATTGAGGAATCTCCAAACTCTGTCCCGCATACGCTTTGATGACATTATGCACAATAACATGATAACTCTGACAAGTCTTCAGAAACTGGGGATTTGGGTGGATGACAGGTCAGAAATAGACAAACTCTGCATGCATTTATCTGAGGTTGGAAGTCTGAAGACGTTACATCTTTATTGTAACACAGAAAGCGAGTGGCCATCTCTAGATGGACTGTCTAAGCTCCATCATGTAACAGAGCTCAAGCTA